CCTCGTCTCCTGGATGTGCAACCAGGATGAGGGGACAGAAAGGGGAGAGGGAAGCCTCAAAATCGGTGCCTGACCTTCATGTGTGGATTCAGCGATGCCCGGGTGGCTGCAGCTTTCCATCCTTCAGATTTCTGTATTTTTTAACCTCTGGGGACTCCTCCAGGACTTTGCATGGCTTGTAGGAGAAGCAACAGCCAAGCATTTGAGCCTTTGAGCACCAGCCTCATGTGCATGCAGGAAATGAAAGTCTCCTCCTCAGCCATCCAAACCTCGAGCCAGAAGTGTGGGAAGATTTTTGTTTCTTTGCAGGTTTTCACGCTGCTTTTCCTAGAGACAGTTTTGAGAAAGACTGTCAGAATATCTTCAACAAAATACTAAAGAAACACACTGGGAACTGTGAAAGCTCAGAATTGAATATAAATATGAACTGACAAGCTGCTTCATTTGGTATCATTAAACTTCACAGTTAGACTTTTTTTGAAAACCAAATTATCATGTAAAAATATGCCTGTAGTGTTAAACTTGAGATGAAAACTGCTTATTTTTGTGTTTAGTGTAATAACTAGTAGAAGGAAAAGTTTCTGTGGTCTGATGTTTCACAGGGTTTTGATTTTTATATTTATAGCAGCCTAATTATGAATAATATTCATGTGCTGCAAACACTTGGGGGTTACAAAAATGAGGAAAACCAGGGTGATATTAAGATTATCTGATACTCTGAGGTTTAAACCAAAAGTTGAAGGCACAGAGTAAATGTAGCTGAGCAGCTGAGTGAGAACATCCCGAGCAGGAGGGGAGAGCTTGCTCCCAGCTCAGCCCCTACTGATGAATAAATATCACGACTTTTAGATAAGAAAAGAGGCTTTGTGAAGTTTTTCCGGGCAGGCTGATGTCAGAGAGACCCGGGTGACCGCTGGATGTCACTGTTAAGTCACCGAAGCGCCCCGGGCACCCTGAGCGGTGTCCCTTGTGCTCCGTCCCCCCGCCCCGGGCTGGGGGGCTCAGTAGCAGGGACCGCTCTGGGCTGTGGACAAGGAAACGGCTCTTTTGGTGTTTCCCCGTTATTTTCAAGAGCTGTGCAAAGTTCAGAGTGCTGAGGTAAAGCTGTTCTAAGGCGAGGTGAAATTTAGGGCGGCAAGAAAACAAAGCGAGATCTGGCTTTATCCTTCCTTTCGAACAGATCTCCCTACCCAAACCAGCACAGCCGAGCACTGCCTGGGACGTGGGTTTGTTTGGATATTCAAGGTGTGGGGATTTGTAGGCGGCTTGATTTTCCTCCTGTTAACGCTGCAGGAGTGAGAAAGAAAAGTGCTGTAATTCATTGGCACAAACAAACAGGCTCGATATTAAATCAGAGCCACAAATCCTGCTGGCGACCTGGGGGTAGTCCTTGGGAATTTGCTTCCAGTAGACGGATAGATGGATAAATTCCTTCCACACCTAAACACATGCCCAATAAGAGACATAAAATCTTAGAGCAATAGAATGATTTGGGTTGGAAAGGACCTTAAAGTTATCTCCTTCCACCCCCTGCCATGGGCAGGGAACACCTTCCACCATCCCAGGTTGCTCCAAGCCCTGTCCAACCTGGCCTTGGACACTTCCAGGGATGGGGCAGCCACAGCTTCTCTGGGAAACCTGGTCCAGTGCCTCACCACACTCACAGGGAAGAATTTCTTCCTGATATCCAATCTAAGCCATTCATCCTTGTCCTGTCACTACATGCCCTTATAAACAGCCCCTCTCCAGCTCTCTCATACCTCATTTCACTCACTGAAAGGCTGCAATTAGGTCACCCCAAATCTTCCTCTTCTCCAGGCTGAACAATCCCAATTCTCTCAGCCTTTCCTAATAGGAGAGCTCTTCAGTGGATGTGTAGCTAGTATCCTCTGAAAGGATGCTAGAAATGCCTTTCTCCAGGTGTCTCCTATTTCCCTCATTGACAGCTCTGTCAACATGTCTGTTTTCTGCACCCAACTATGGACAAAGTGCCCTTCTCTGTATTTTTAATGCCAAAGCCATGGAAAATGGGCTCTTATTATCACAGCCTCACTCAGAAGCAGGCCTGCTTGATGGTCATTTTTACTAGAAAGTGGCCTGTTTTTTCTTAATATGCCATCACAGAAATTTCCTTTGAAAGCAGGAGCGTTCTTGAATTCACAATGGGCTGTGATAAACTGTGAATTTCAAACAGTTCTGCATTTAGTTGCAAAAATTTGTCACCTTTTTTCACATGAGCAAGTCAGCATAGATGTTTGCTTCAGGCCATTCTAACTTCCCATCAGTCCTGTGGTGCCTGTGCCATTCCCACCGATGCCGGACCGGGGGAGCTCCCCTGATGGCAGGTGCTTCATCACCATGTGGCCAAGTTCATCAGCCTCCACCTCATCACACCTTACTTTAAAATTGCCCTGCCTGGCACCACCTCGGTGGGTGAGGACTGGTGTGTCACGATCCTGTCCTGGCTTCCATCGAGGTCAGTCACTGATGCCGTGTGGTGTTTTCCTCTGGCTTAACACTCCATGAGGATGTTTAGAGGTAGTTAATTCAGAGTGGTAAGTACTGGGATTGGAGCCACTGGAAGGACAAGGGTTTCCCTTGCCTTGGGACAGCATTTTTGTGACAGCTCTCTGTCATTGTGTACTAGTTAGTCCAGGGGGTAATGATTTGCTGTTGGCCATAGGTGCCACTTCAGAACAAAACATACAAGAATTTAATCCTTTTGGACTCACAAGTGCTCAATCTTTTACGATGGACAAGGTCATAGTTCCTGTTTATTTTTTTTTTTTCCCACTAACACCAGTTTCCCATGACCTTGGATGTGTCGTGAAATCCCAGGAACAGAGATGTTACCAAGCACTCATCCTGCCAGAGCAGCTTTGCAGGGGCTGCAGAGCCCCTTGTAAAACAACCTGTTCCTCCCAAAGCATGAGGTGTTGATAAGATAAACGTTTTCCTGAGACCTACTTACCCCTCTCCTCGAACTGTGAGTCCAAATTCACTTCACCTATTCCCTTCTTTTCATGCATCCCACATCAAAATTCTCACCTTGTCTATTTGCCTTGATTGGTGTCAGCTGCAATAAAACATCGCTGTACCTCAACCAGCGGAACGCTCAGCAAGGTGTTTGAGGCTACCCAAAGTGTTTCATTCTCCCCAGTGGCTGTCAGCTAAAGGATGGACAAAGTAATTCTCCAGAAAGGAGAAAACAGTCTCAAGCCCTGACACATGTTTTGAGTGTGTGTGTAAAAACACAAGGTATGAGGAGGGCTTAGATCACAGCTCATCTCGCTGGCATCTCACCAATTTCTTTCATCACCAAGTTTCCTCCCTGCTGCCCTGGCTCTGCTCCCCTGGTTTCAGCCTTGTCCTTCTCCTTCTGACCTCTGACATTGCCATGAATAGTTCAGTCCATCATACTGAGATAAAAACCAGTCACCTCATGCTGTTTGGGCATTAAGGGCAGCAGTTACAACTGCACTGAGAAATAGTTCATTTTAAGTGTAGGGTACAAGTACCTGATGAGATTTGTGTGAGAAACTGGGGAATTTCACCCTGTTAAACCCCACTGAATATGTGGTGAACTGGAGAGGGACCTGATTTAATGGCACTGGCTGGGCTACCTTGAAAACTGAGAGAGGTAGGAAAGCAGGACAGCTCGCTTGGGAGAGCCAAGTGGAAGGAGCAGTTTAGTGGTAAAGGAGCAGGAGTGCCTGACCACCCTCTGGGGGAAAAACTTTTTTCTAATACACAACCTAAACCTCCACTGACATAACTTCAGGCCATTCCCTCTGGTCCTGTCACTGCTCGCTGGAGAGGAGACATCAATGCCTGTCCCTCCTCTTCCCCTCACAAGGAAGTTGTAACTGCAGTGAGGTCTCCCCTCAGTCCCCTCTTCTCCAGGTTTAACAGACCAAGTGCCCTCAACAGCTCCTCACGAGTTTGGTTCAAGGAATCCGTGCAACATCTACCCTGCACCTCCTGCTGTGAGTTCCCTCTCACCATCTAACACACACACAGACTTGCAGTGACAGATGTAAAAAACAACTGTGCAGCTCTGCAGGGGAGGAAGGGCAGGAAGGACCCCTTGTCTGGCTGCTAAGACATGCAACTTTTTCTTAAGGAGTAGCAAGAAAATGAAGCAGAACAAAATCCTGCCACTCTTGGCTCCAGATCTAACACTCAGCTTGGCCCTGAGTGCCTGAAGAACATCAGACAGGGACCAGCTCGCCCAGCAGCCCTACTGAGTGCAAACACTAAGAAAGACAAAGGTATTCTTCAAGGGAAGATTTTCTGGACTGGTATAATTCTAAGTAAAGGGGTGAGGTGACAGAGCTGATTCCAGGGTGCCAAGATGAATTGTTAGAAGCATTCAGGATGGGAATAACATAGTGAAAGACAACCTAATAGTAGCAATTTTGATGAAGGTTGCAGATTAGCAGTGGAGAGGAAATCAGATGCAAGAGTCTGTGTAGACAGAGACTGTTCAGAGGTCTTGCTGCTGCTGCAAAGGTTTGGGGAAGGACCTGCTGCCAGGCAGGTTTGTGTGTAATACCCTTGGGGAATGGAGGGAAAAGTGGATCCTTTAAGCACTCGAATGCTTTCAGCCATATAATGTTTGGATTAGGATCCACTCAAAGGTGCAGAGAGCACACTTGCCAAGTTCAACACCAGCAGAGATGTGCTGGTGCTTATTATAAGGTAAGAAGGAAAGAGGGAGTGCCCTCATCACTCAATCAGTTACCCACAGGTAGAAGAAAAGAGCAGATTCTGAATGGAGGAAATGAAAATTATTATTATTATCTGTACAAAGGCATTCTTCCCCAAATGATAGCAAGGGGGATGAGGTCCGGAAGGGCTGCCAGCAGGAGGAAAGCAGACCTTGATTTTGCATTAGAAGGTGTCAGGGGGGGCAGCACGAGGAAAACATGACACCCCGGGGCTGGGTGTTGAGCATCCCTCAGGGCACTTGGTCCTGCTCATTAGTGACACACAGACGGGAGGGAGCTCCCGGCAGAGCTGCTGCACTGCCCTGATTAGGGGCAGGAGAGATTGATTTGTGATGAATGAATAAAGAGGTGAGATTAAAGCACGGCTAAATGGCGAGGAAGAGGGAAGAGTCTGTGAGTATCTGAAGGGCGTTAGCAGGGAGAAGGGATAAATTAAGGTGGAACAAGGGTTTTCAGCTACGAGCAACAGCATGAAATCAAGAAGGGATATTCAGATTTTAGGTACCTAAATAAGGGAACAGCCCAGAACGGCTGGGCTCACTCCCTCCTGGGAGGATGCCTTGTGCTGCACAAAGACTGCTTTGAGCCCTCTGGATGTGATGGTAGCCATGTGAAATAAGAAGCATTTCTGCAGAATTGACAGTGCCCTTCACACTCACTTCTATTTATTTCTCACCAGCCTCCCCGTGTAGACAACAAGTATTATCAAGTGTAACTTTTTTTAGGAGTGAGATTTAAGCCTGCAAAATAATCCCCTCATTGGACATGCAGAAGCAGCCGCAATACTTGGCAGATGTGAAAACAAATTGGATGACAGAGAAGGGGATTTAAGCAAGACATCCTAAAGGAAGGTCAGCTCCTGGGGTGGCAGCCCCAGATTTACCACCCTGGAGCAGACCATCCACCCAAGCAGCCTCGTGCCTGGACATGTGTGGGCACTGCCTACACAGCTCCTTGCCAGGCTGGGCAGCTGTCCAGGAGGAGCTCATGGCACTTCCCCCAGCATTTTTCCACCTGGGTGAGGTTTTCCCTTGAGAGGGCGACACACTTTCACAGGAGTCACAGAGAGCAATCTTGTTGGGAATACACAGAGTTAACTTTACTCATCCATCTTAATAGGACTTATATTATTTTCCTTGATGGTTCTGATTTTCTATCCCATTAATAATAAAAAAGCTTCTCTGCTTATATATAATGCAATTCAACAATAAGTCTCAAAGGAGGATCAAGATCACTTTGGCTTTCCATCAATTTGATACTGACGCCTCTCCAGTTAAACAACTCGAGTGTGAGATGAGCAAAAGGGAGCAGAGATTCTTCCTAGCTTGAGACTGAACCTGAATCTCTCTGGAAGCAACAGGAATCTTCCAGTGGATGTCAGTAGACTTTGCATCACCACCCAAAGGGTGTATCAGGGAAGGTGAAGGCTCTGTAAATCAGGTGCCACGCTGACTTTGGGGGAGCGTGGCTGATCTTGACTGCCTGAGAACTGGGGCAGAGGACACCATGTGAAGGGTCTGTGATTATTTTTTCTGATGCAAATGTTCCAAACTGGTGTTTGGGAAAAGGGCTTGTTAGTCAGTGTTTGCCGAATGGAATACTTCATGACAGCGCTAATTAAAATAAATGAAACTTGACTTTTCAAGATGATGCTTTTTTTATAGCAAAGTACAGTAGTTTGGAAACATCTTTAATTTAATTACAAAATACTTTCTCTGGTTATTTACTTAAAATTGTCTCCCATTATAGAGCTGCACCAGTATTTCTGGATGCACACTCTTGATTTCGACATTTTACATTACATTATCAAGTTAATCTCCCCAAATCATTAACCCCCAGCAGGAAAGATTTTTAATTACGTAGATTCACCAAGTGTTTTTCAAGAACTGTTTTACTACTATGAGTTCAACCCTAATGCACTGTGGGGAGATGGAGGGCACTGTCCTACACTTGATTTCATGAAACATCATCTTGAAAGAGGCCTCCAAACATACAGCAGGTTCAGCAAATAAATCTTATCCACAACAGAAAACACTTAATGTCCTGGAGAATGCCTGCCTTCCTGGGAAGGGGTACTGATGTGCACCTCAGCAAGAAATAGGGTAATTTAGACCAAGCTGAGCCTGTTTTTCCCCCTCCAACATAAACCAGCTTTATTCCAGTGTATCTCAGTTCTGATTTACGTTACAGGATGTGGTATCTGAATCAGGCTGAAGCTCACAAAAAAGTGCTCATGAGCTTATAGTCGTGGTTATGCTTTTATGTAGGTTAGAAAGCACATCAAAATCAAAAGCAACACTGAATCCCATTTCCTGACATCAGGGGGAACCAAAGATTTGGGAAGATGATGAAGAGAGGACACTACATTAGTTTTTAATAATTAACACTATTAATAAACGTTGGTTTGAGCCCTTACCCAGAGCTTCCCTCTCCTGTACAGGTCCCACGGTGGGCATGGCAGTGTGGGGAGCCTTGCTCAGACCCTCAGCAGCTCTCCTGGGTTGGAGTGATACGTGGAAAGGTTTCTCCGTAGGGGACACAAATGTTGGTATCCTGAGTGCTGGAAAAACTGGTGAGTCACAACTGGCAGAACACCATAAAATTGTCCTGACTTACTCATCTGAATCCCTATTAAAGGCTGAGCAGCAGTTGAGAGGAAACAATTGCACGAAAGTGTGATGTTCTCTCTGCTGATGTCATTGGTGGGGGCAGGAGCAAGGATTCAGACCATCAAATGTACTGCATACACAGGATGATGAACGATGACAATAATCCTACAGGAAGGGAAATGTTTAAAGTGCCAGGGCTTGTCCTCCAGAACAGATGACACCAAATTCTTCTGGCTTGTGCAGCCAAGCCCCAAACACAAAAGAGAAATGAAGCATTTTGGAAAGCTGAGTGCATTTGAATTTATTCTGGGAGACATATCCCAGTCCTGGAGACTCAGAATGGTGAACACATCAGGGCATGACTGGGGGCAGAGAAGCATTTTGAGGGCAACTGACTTTACACCTTTGAGAGTGCCCAGAGTACTGATGTGGTTCCCTCTATGGGAGATCACTCTATGGAAGGCCCAAAAATGTATTGACAGCCAAGTATTTTTTTGCAGTATAATATGCCAACAAAGCTTATGCAAACACTCCTCTAGTTTTCTGGTACCTGCCTCATCTGTCTCTCCACCTTCTGCCCTTGCTCCTTAGTAAGGGAGATGAGAAACAAATGAATTACTGGTAGTTTAGAACTGAATTAACAAGTCTGAAACTTCCTGCAGGTACATGTGGTCAAGTATAGTACAACATGGATCACAAGTTGTGTCTCTGAATGCAGCCAGCCAGTGCAAAACCAACAATTGGGCACTTTCCCTCTGAAATGGCTTTCATGCTCTATATTCTGTAGTGTTCCAGATCCATAAAACCCCAAGTTTATAAAAAATTTATAGTGGAACTACAGCTCAATTGATACAGTTCACATTTCTACACTGAAGTATTGGGTGCAGCCACCACTGGGAACAACAGAGTGGCTTTTACGGGTGTTTGAAAGCCTCTTCCACAGCTACTTTTATCACAGAAAGTTCAGCTCCAATTTTATTTTCTTTTTTCTCATACCTGAAGCCTGTGAAATCTCTAATCTGTCAGCCTGTGTGATGTTTCACCCAGTGTTTCACGTTGCTGTATCAAAGTTAGTAACAGCATCTCTATCTACCGCTACAGGCATCATTATTTATTTGCCCTGTGCTGCACTCAGGAGTCCCAGGTGCCACCAGAGTTATCACCGAGCCTGTACCTAATTTAAACGTCAGTTTAATACCAGACAAGGCACAGAGCTGCCCTTATAAAAATGTGCTCTCTGGTCGCTGGAGTGGAGTTAAACCCAGCAGCCCCTCAACGCGTTTCAAACCGTCCAGGATCTTGCCAAAGGGGAATTCGACACCGCTGAGGAGAAACCCGCTGTCTGTTTGCCCTTCACTTCTCTTACCTGCCTGTTGCCCTTCCCAGAGCTGTGGGGGCCGGTCAGACAGATGACTGTGGAACATGGGAATGGAAGAAGAGAGGAACAAAACACAACTCCTTCGTTGCAGGACCTGCTCAGAGCGATGGCCGAGGACGCGTCGCTGTTGGGTTGTGGCAGGGACGTGCTGAGCCATCCATGAGCTTTCTCCTGGGAGATCTTTGGAGACAGCACTATCCATGCCATGGCAATATGTCACTGTGTGTCTGTGTATGGAAAGACAACATCTAATTTAGAGAGCACAAAAAAAATGCAATATATGAATAATGGTACGAGGCAACTTTCCCTGATTGCTTGGCCTGATCCTCCTGAGGGCCTTTAGGGAGACTGGTGGATGTTTTCAGGAGTTGCTTGGTCTGCAAGCTTTATGACAGGGTCAGCAGGAATGGAGAGGGTTGGAGAGGTCAGGAAAAAGCAGTTGCTTGGCTCTTTGTGTATTGTTTGACATAAATGAGGTAAAGAGTGTATATCTAATGGAGGGGGGGGGTAAAAGAAAAAAAAGCTTGAACCCATTATCCTTTTGAACTGGCATAAATCAGGAATAGCTTGGAAATCAGCAGCCCAAATCTTCAGCCATTACTAGTCTTCCTGGGGTTTAAATGAAGTTGAAAACGCTCTGCCAGTTTACAGGAGCTGAGGATACTTCCTGATGGAATTACACAAGCATGAATATACTGTAAGCCAAAAGAGAATTAGGCCCATTATTTTTAAAAAAGCAAAGCTTGATTAAGGATGTTCAGTATAGGTTTAGGAAAAAGAGCACTGTCATGCCTCACTAGCTTCGCTGTTCTGTTGAAACATGACTACCAGGGAGGTATTACAATGCCCTGGGATTTTCTAGAAAAGCAATCAAAGGAGTGTGGTTTTGGGGAGGGGAGGGAGGAACAGCACTTCTGTCAGTGCTAATTGCAGGCATTAATAGGAGCCACAGCACAGAGAACTGTCTGGTACTCTGAGCAAGTTGGAAGCACAAGTGCACTTCACTTTATGGGTGCAGACATACAGAGATAATTCCACTTGCAGAATGAAGAAGCAGGATCTGAGCTGGAGAGATGTGCTGATCACTCCCAACGTGATCAGTCAGAGGTTCAAGAACTGCAGTGAGTCAAGGGGGAAGCTCAGAAGGCATTTCTTGAGATTGAAACATAATTAATGCGAATGCCTCTGAGGCTTCGCTCCCCTATTTGGGAAATGCAGATCAAGAGCTTTATTATTTTTGAATGAATTGGATCAAACTTGAAGACTTAAGTTCTCAGCAGAGTTGCATCAGCAGATATTTAACAGTAAAACACCACGTTGGCATTGCAAATTGGGCATGTGTTGGGAAAAAAAGTTGGATCTGGCCTCATAAAAAAGCCACATAAAGACCTGTGGAAGAGGCAGCCTGCTGGGACTTAGGTCCAGACCTGACAGCGGCACCGCTACCCATGCAGGGACTCTTACAGGAGAGTCACTGGGGTGGGCAGGATCAGAAAAATTCAGTGCAGGGTCACTGTTAGCACTTCTGTCTCTGTCAGAGAGGAGTTACCAAACATGTCCTATACCAGCACTTTCCTTCAAAAAGTCTTTGAGTCGTTTTCTTAGTCATATCCCTCATCAGAGAGCCTCACAGACCAACTTCACGCCATCCAAAGCACCATTGTGCTATCAGAGATGTTCAAGCAGTTGAAGTTGACTCCTTTTCTTGTTTCTTTGATTCTTTTTGTCTTTCTTTTGAGCAAAAGTTCTCACACAAAGCATTGTGCAAATGAAACCAACGTGGGATTTGACCACTGACTTTAGTGGGACCTGTATTTGAATCGCCCCTTTTTAGCAGCACGGTGCAAAAAGATCAAACAGCCTTTTAGACGTGGTGCTTTACTTTACTTACCACATCTCCTCTTCTCCTTGTTTCTGTCAGGTCATCTTTAATATTGAAAGATTCTGCTATGGTGGAAAAGTTTATTAGAGGCCAATGCCTCGCTGCAGCCTTGCATCCACCTTTCCCCCTCCTCTGACGCAGCTCCTCAGGCTACCACAGACTCTGTCTCCCTTCATCATTTCTAGAGAGAGAAAACACAGAATATCACAGGTCCCTGTCTCCGGGAAACCAGGCACTGCAGCTGCCAGGGATTTCAGCTAACACCACAGAGCTCCTGAAAAGTCAAGTGTCTTCAGGAGGGGCAGACATCTGCTGCCATCCCCATGTTTTCTTCTCTCCGTTCATATTAACTGTCTCTGTCCCTCTGAACAGTTTGCTGGCTAGAGAGAGAACAGGGCTTAAAGGTGTTTATACATTTCCACTCTTCCAAAGGGAAATAAAAAAGGGCTTAATATAGCCCGAGAAACAAAGGCAACAGCATAGGTAAGAAAGAAAGCACAGGTGTAATTTCTGGGCACAGTGAGAAGCCTTTTAAAAGCCCCTAAATGAGTAGTGTGTACATGTTTACCACCACTGCAGCTGACATATAGCCACAGGAGCACTGCACTACAGGGATCAAATGAGAACTTGTGGAGGGCTATTGAACACCGGGAATTTTCACAGTAAGGCAGAACAAAATTATTCAGCACTAGGGGGTTCTCTAATTTTGGTACACTTGGAAAATAAAGCAGTGCCTTTGTCCAGGACTAATATTTGCTCACCAATGGCCAAAT